AAGCTTCGGAGCATATGGGGCTTGAAACTAATGAATTTTGTCCTCAAAGTTCGGCGGAAGTCATTCAGGTCGAAGCTTGTAAATGATGGCTACCGAAAGAGCAAAAAAACCCTCGGTTTGGATATCATCGAAGGAGCGGTCCGACTCGAGAGACCCATTCAATCTAGATTGAAAAATGAGGAACGTCTCGCGCGTGGAGCGATGCCAATATTTGCGCCTGCAATTGAACATGCCCCACAGACCCGTGGCAATGAACCTAGATTCAACAGGCATAGTTGGAGAAGAAGTGTGATTGAGATAGAGCGAATCAACTGACTCATATCAATCCCTAAACGGTGCTACTCGTGGCTGACTGTCTTGAGAGGGTCTGAACTTCCCGGTCGACCATCATGACGACGCCGATTGGTCGGGGGCTGGGGCGGCAACAATAAATAACAGCAGCCGAGAAGCTACTAGGCTAACCTCAATCTCATTGGAGTGCGACCATATGACACCCACCCCAACACACCCCCGAAGAACTGCGAAAGCCAGGCGAACGCCAGATCGAACGACTCCCCAGGATTACGGCTGTGCTCGTCGAGCGTCTGGGTGTCGCTCTGACTCAGCTCCGCGGCCATCCGGGCTCATCGAGCCAGCTGCCCCCGATACGCCCTTTAAAAGCATCGATCGAATTATGGTCATCAATCCCAGCTATGACCGAGATGGAGCAGAGAGTAATCTGTTATCCAGAGTAAAAAGGTCCATTATTGCTAGGCTATAACAGAGCATGACTGGTTCAGTAACTCACACAAAGCTGAAGTTGAGTTCTATCGCACATTCCATGTCATATGTATCGCATTGAGTAGCCTCGTGATTCCCATCATCCCCATAATTTGCATTACCCTGTTCCTTCTCTACCGCGACGTCACACTATGGAGATGACACTGCACCTCCCCATAACGTTGATCTCAATGTTCTTTAGTACCCTAGTTTAGGGGTATTACTCTCTACATATTTCTCAAACCTTGAAGCAATAACATATCCTAACTAGGTGTAGTTTTTACATCGAGGACGAGGGAGCGCTCAGGAGCGCCTGAGTAGGCTATGGTCGTCTTTGCAGCCCCACAGCTCCGCGAATATGAGGCGCTGTGCAACGATCCCAGCAGCTTCGACGGCCGCGCGCGCACGGACGAAGCAGTGGTGAAAACAAGACATCCAGGCGATCGCGTGGCGACTCGGGCGGGCGGTTCTAGGAGTGGGATTGGACGCGCTCGGCTCCAGCACCCCTTTAGAGCAATTTTCGAGGCTGCGCAGCGTCATGGATCGATTGTCGTCACCTCCGCATCGTTTCGTCGCAGGTCAAAAAGGGTAATCACACTACTCTCTCACCGCGACGTCAAGCCGGAGAACGTGCTCCTCGTGGCCCGGGGCGGCGGCTTCTGGGACGTCCGCGTGAAGCTCTGCGAGCTGGGCCTGTCGACGCGCGTGCGCGCGGCCCAGGAGGCCCCGGCGCCGTCGCCGGCATGCGTGACGGCGACACTCGGCGCGAGCGAAGCACAGGAGCCAAAAAGGCCCAGTGAAGCTAAGAATCTCATTTCGCTAAAGGCAAGTGAATCATACACAAGACACCGAGTTGGAGCTATTGGGGGTGTTGTGTTGTCTTTGGAGCGGAAGCCACATGCGAATTTTGGACAAAACTTTTGGGCCTGGAGCGACTGCCCACTGCGAACCCGAAAGTGAACCCGAAAATAAATGCAAATGCGAGCACCGCCCGCAACTCCATCAGGTTTTTATCTTGACGTAGCACGATTTCAGATAATTCGAGGACTCGTTTCTCCAAAGCTTCAATTCTAATAGCATTCTCATTTGGCAAGGACACCACGGCAGTCGGCTCATCATGTGTGTCAGCGTTTTGAGACGCAAAAGCGGACATCACACGATTCACATCGTCTGATTCGGCCTCTCTCGATGGGCTGAGCCGACGAATGGCGTAGTCAAGCTCTGGCTGGCTGGAGAAGGCCAAGCGACGAGCATGAACATCGACCATTGAATTCGACGTCAGCTATATCT